AATTAATGAGATATTTTCCACTCTTTTTCCATACTAAGTCTTTGCACAAAATCTGTTGTGCATTCTACACTTAGAGCACATCTCAGTTTGGACTCCCCCTATTTCCAGTGTTCAACAGCCACACGTGTCTAGTGACGACCGCAGCGGACAGCACAGACAGAGACGATCACCTCCGACAGCAGAGACTGGGTCCCGTCTGCACACCTTCCCAAGGCCTGGCACACGGCACACCCAAGTTTTATCCCCAGCCCTGCCTGCTGCCTCCACATCTTTCCTGAGGATCTTACGGACATCTCAACTCAACATTTCAAAACAGAACTCTCCCGAATTGCCCTCTGAAATCCACGCCTTACCCCTCCCAGCAGTCCTCATCTGGGTCAGTGGTCCCACCACCCACCCGGTCAATAGGGGCAACAACCTCAGCGTCCCTCTAGATTCCTCTCTTTCGTAGCCCCTCATCTGTCCCTCAGCAACCCTAAAGCTATCTCCACCCTGACTTCTCAGCATCGACTGCCTCCTCTCTACTCCAGGCCACCATCTCGCACTTGACACTGGCTTTCTAACTGACCTCCTCGCTGCTTCTCTCAGTGCTCTCAAGTCCACTGTCTACACAGCAGTCGCATCCCTTCCCTTCTTGCACAGCTTCCCATATAAGAAGGCGTCTCACTGCATTCAGAACCAAATCCGAGGGCCGGCCCCGGGGCTTAGCACTTAAGTGCTCGAGCTCCGCTACTGGCGGCCTGGGGTTCGGATCCCGGGCGCGCACCAACACACCGCTTCTCCAGCCATGCTGAGGCCGCGTCCCACATACAGCAACTAGAAGGATGTGCAACTACGACATACAACTATCTACTGGGGCTTTGGGGGGAAAAAAAAGGAGGAAGATTGGCAATAGATGTTAGCTCAGAGCCGGTCTTCCTCAGCGAAAAAGAGGAGGATTAGCATGGATGTTAGCTCAGGGCTGATCTTCCTCACAAAAAAAAAAAAGAAAAGAAATCCGAGCTCCTACAAGACCCTGCACAATCCCCCTGCTCTCCTCATCTCTTCCGGTACTCGTGGTGCTCCAGCCACAAAGGCCTTCTTTCTGTTCCTCCAAGCTCATTTCCAGCCCCAGGGCATTTGCACCAGCATTTCTCCCTGCGGGAATCCCCTCCAATGGCCCCACAGCCAGCTCCTCCACCCTTCAGGAATCAGCTCAATGACACCTCCTCAGAGAGGCCTGGCCTAACACCCCATTCCACCTCCTATGCTGTACCTCCTTGTCACTGTCTGTCACAGCAGTCTGTTTTAGCTCCTTCACAATACTTAGCAGCTGAAATTATCTTAGTCCTTTACTCCTTTCTCTGTCTCCTCATAGAAAATGAGGCCCATGAGAAGGGACCGACACTGCAAAACCCCCAGAGCCTCGAAGAGCGCCTGATACATAGTCTGTCCTCAGTAAGCATTTCTTGAATAAATGAGTAAGCCGGACGCTTCACTTAGCCCACATAATAATGACAGCAGGTAAACTCACGGAGCTGCCATAACGCGCCCAACGCCGTCTACGGAATTCCCACCATAACCCCATGAGGCAGGTAGTACTTTCGTCACCTCACAGGGAAGGGCAACGAAGCACAGAGAGCTTAAGCCACCTGCCCGAGGTCGCACAGCTAGGGCGGCAGGGCCAGGACACGCCCCCGGCACTCAGGCGCCAGCAGCCGGGGGTGGGGAGGCGTGGAGACCCCGGCACGTGTGCGCCGCCGCCTGCCGGACCAGCGAGCAGCTCGGCTCCCCCGGGTCTGGGCGGCCTGCAGCCGCGCCAGCAGCTCCAGCCGGAGGGGCGAGAGCCCCGGGAGGCGAGCCTGGCGCCACCACCTGCCGGCCGCGTCCCCTGGAGCGGGCGACCGCATCCGCCCCGCGCCCGGAGGACCCTGCCCCCGGCCGCGCGGGTACCTGCACCGGCGTCATGTACGGGAAACCCAGCCCCCGCAGCGCGCCCAGCACCCGCGGGTGCAGCGGCACCGGCAGCGACTCCCAGGAGCCCTCCGTCACGTGCTCCATGGCGCGCCCCGCCGCCGCCGCCACCTGGTCGCCTCCGGGCGCTGCGGGCGAGCACTTCCGCTTCCGGCCGCCGCCAGGACCGGGCGGGAACGCTGCTCCAGCCGCTAAGTTCCGGAGGGCGGGGAAGACGCCTTCGTGGCGGGCGGCAGGGTGGGAAGCCGACCGCGGGCGCACGAAAGCGGGCGGCGGGGGCCAGGCCGGAGTAGTACCGTGCGTCCTGCGCAGGCACCGTGGCTCGCGGCGCCTCTCCACGCCGAGCAGGCGTTTCGGCGGGAGGGATTCTGCCCCGGCGCTCCCCCTTGCTCCGCCATCGGAGGCAGGTGGCAGCACAGCACCGCGGCCTGGCCCCAGGACAGTGGGGCCGGAGGGAGTGGACGGACAGGGCTGAGGGGGGGCCCGCGGCCTGGCACACAGGCAGCGTCGGTGGACCTCCGAGAAGTTAGTCCGTGTCCTGGAGAACACTCCCTTCCCGTCCCCGGGGCCGCGCACACCCCGCAAGCGTCCCCTGAGCACCCGTGACACGCGGGCTCCGGGGCGCACGTCCTCTCCAGCTCTGCGCAGGGCGCGCTCCCTACTCCCGTCGGGTCTTCACAAACGTCGTCCCGGGGACGCCTTCCTTCCCCATCACCAAAACCGCTCACCCTGCTTTAGTTTTCCTCCTCGGCACTCACCATTCATATGCCCTGTAATTTGCATGTTTGTCAGGCTCCTCTCCCCCACTAAAAGGTAAATCCCAGGATGATGGGGATTTTTCTCTATTTTCTTTATCGCAGTGGCTACAACTGGTAGCACAAATATTTTGGGGATGAATAAACGCGTTTGGTACTCATGCAGACTCCGGCCATCTCAGACTAAATGAAGCAAAAGATAAAAGCCTGAGGCAACATTTTCACTGAAATATGATCATCACATGCTGAAAATACCTTTGACAACTGCTTCATAAAATGGGACTTCCACAGACAGCTCTGAAAGCAAAGGCAAGCCTGTTTCCTTATTTCCAAAAGGATTATAACAGCACCCAAGGTAATGGTGATTTTGAGGAATAAAGGAGACAGACCACACAAAGCACTTAGCGTTGTGCTAGGACATTACACAGTGCTCAATAAATGGTAGTTTCTTCTATTACTAGCAGGCCCTTAGTGTAATGGAGGACCAGGAACCGTTTCTAAAGGCAGAGATCTAGTTTCTGGTTCTATCAATCACTCTTCATTTGGGAGCCTTGGGCAAATCATTTAATCCCTCTTAAAGTTACTTCCCACATCCATAAACCAGGTGGTTGGTGAAAATAACTCAAACTTTTTTTTCCCAAATAAAGAAGATGCTATCAATGACCCATCAAAGAAATCACACAGGGAAACCTAAAACTGGGTTCCTGTTCACTGTCCTCAAGTTCATAGGCATAATTACTCAGAAAACATGGACAGGTCTCATTTCAAACATGAACAGAAAGTTAGTATTTAACAAATGTGAATTAACCATTAATATATAAAACACAGAATACTAAGACTGTTTTTAAAAAGAACTGTTTATTTACTGAACCTGGGGCAGATTAGATACACAACCAATTTTAAATTTACATCTTTTAATTCAATTTTGTAGTGTTTTCACACACACACACACAAATTGGCATGCAACAGTTGTCCTAAGGTAACAGTCACCTTAAACTGCTGCAAGTATTTTCACCCAAGGTTGAAAAATTGTTTACCCCGAACATGAAAACCTGTAACAAATTTAAATTAATTATATAAAACTTGTTACTTGTAGTTATCCCCTTGCAAAGATCCAAAAAAATGTACAAGTAACTCATATACATCAGTCACAACATAATCCTGGATCATCCCTACACCAAAACCAGATGCTCCTTTAATTTTAAACCCATCATCAGAGAGCAAGAAAAAGTCCTTTTGTTTTATACAAAACAAAATTCACATGTGCCAAAAAAGAAAGACCCAAGAAAAACAAAAACTCTAGTACTGACAATGATGTTCAGTACCCTAAGTAAACAGTGGCCAAAATGCCACTGATCAAAAATAAAATAGTGGCTGTTTATCATTGCAATGAAATCCAAGAGGCTTTAACCCTTTGGCATCAGAAATCCAGATCTTTCCAATTACGTGAATGCATACCTCCTACGTGCCAAGAGTGGAGAGAGCAGATATGCCAGCACAGAAAGAAAAGAGCTAGCGTTTGCTGCAACACCCAGAGAATTGGCTTTAATAGAGACTTTTTACAAGGTTAGGCAGAAACCAAAAAATGGTTATTAGCTGCTTGTGTCATCACTTTAACTGGAGGTGATTGAGTTTGAAGGTTAAAGTAAAAATTTAGGGGGAAAAATGTTGGGTTAAGTCTTAGCTTTACAGCAAAAACAAGACAGACGAAGTATAAAAGCACCAACCTGGTAGCAGACTCCAAAGTCACAGAGCTCGCCATCAGGCTAGGCAGGAAATCAAGATTCAGACTGTTGTTTCTCATAAGGACTCAACAAAATGAATCTGTAAATGACTTAATAAGGGATCCAAAGAATGCAATCATTTTAGTGAAGTACTATCAGTAAAGTACCATCCTGAACAAACTGTCTTTTATTATGAAAACAAAAGGAAAAGAAGATATAATAAGGACTATACGCCTGTATTTCATTTGCAGTGTTTGAGTTCCAACAGGACATGTATAACGGAGGCAGAATTCAAGTAAGAAATTATGCCAATCCAATGTCAAATTTTCACTATAATTTCCCTAAAAAGGTGTTTTCTCTCAAGAGCTATTAATCACAAAGAAACATAAGCTGTGAATGTACAGTTCAGAAAATAAAAATGTGGAAACTAATGACATTATTATGACCAAGATGTTTGGTAAACAGTGAATTATGAGTTTGAGATCATCAGGAAAAGGCTTTTAAACGACCCTCCGGACTTCAAAAAATCTCTTCAGATAGTAGATCTGTCCCAATGTCATGGCAACTAGAACAAGAGCTTCAAAGAAGGACCAAAGGACCACTCTGCTGTTTGTGTTGTCGTTGACTGTTGAGGACAAACAAACAATCAAAATTTAATAACAAAAAAAAAAAGCATAGGCATCATAAACATCATCCTCTACCCTTGACTCTGTCAAAGTAATATTTTTACACCATTCATAGTACTCTAAATACTTCTGTCCCCAAGTAACTCAACAGATTTAGAAGCAGAGAATTTTAGATTTAAATGGGCCCTGAAAGATTCACAGAGCACAGCCAAGCCCATTCTGCTTATGTATGGGAACAGAGAGGATAAGTGACTTGCCCAAGGTCACACTTCTTGGGTTAAAACCCAATCCAGCCTCTGTTCTCCCTCACATTGAAATGTCCCTACGTTATAATCCTTTCTGCTGAATCAGAAAATTGACTTTAAAAAAATTAAGTTATTTCAAGATCAGAGAGTTACCCAAAAAGCACTACCAACCAAGTCCAAACTGTGTCAGTTTAAGTGTTTTTTTCTTTAAACATTTATTCAACAAATATTCAATGAGGATCTACTATGTACTTGGCATCTGTTCTAAACGGGGAGGTTTCTCAGTTTCATGGACCAATACCAGACAAATTTGAATTAGTCTCATGATTTATTCCATTCTCAAGCTAAGGATTTGATCCTTAAAGTTAACAGCCATGACTATAATAATTTATTCTGCTCAATTTATGTCACATTCTTTCAAGTTTCTGATCAAATTCTATAGCCTTAACTTTTTAAAATTACTACATAGTTTCTGATTTTTCTGCAAATGGCCAATATTAAAACCAGTCACAATTAGCAATATAGTAACAATATTAACCAGCTGAATAAGTGTCATATTTTTAGATGTATGATACCATTTGTAAAAAAATTAACTAAAATTGTAAAAGCTACTGGACTAACGATCACTCAAAAAGAAGTGAAAAGCACTTAAGATGTTTCCAAAAAGATAATTTATAGTTACTTTAAAAAAAAGTGACTTTTCCAGAGTAAGAATAGACACATGCCCAAGAACATTAACTAGAACTGTAAAAACTACCAACACTGAAATTTTAGTGCTAATTCCACGGCATGATTTTAAGATTGTGTCTAAAAGGGGAATGGCTGAGTAAATACTTCAAAATATTAACCAACCATGAAAAAAAGTATTTATGTCTCCCTTTACTTATAGCAAAATGCATCTTTAAGCTTAAATAGGACACACCGAAGCACAATAACAGGAAAGTAGCCACCTACGGGAAGTGTGTGTATATAAGACCCTGTCCTCATGTGATTCACATGTGAGCCTGATCTAGAAGCAACACAGTATTATTACAACACTGTAGTGGGGAAAAAAGGTCTGATTATGTTCATCTCTGAGGAGTGATTGCTGTAGGAAGACGTACAAAAAACAAACAATATTGTGGAAACTATTTGATTTGTGAAATTAAACTGAATGCCTAAAATTCTGTTTTGTTTATGAAACAAATACAGGAGTATCTCTGCTCAAATTAAGGGTGAGAGAATAAGGTTGGATGCCCCCATATGGAAGACAGGTGCTTCCTCTGGCTGCTGTGCTCCCAGACCCTCCTATACCTTTAAAGCCATCTGGTCCGGACTGGTTAGACTGCAAAGCTGCGAACGCTCTTAGCCCTCAGACTTTGTTCACTGCCCTTCTCATCCCAGAATGGGCTGGTCCCCACCTGGGAGCAAGGGAACCCAGAAATAGGTCCCTGCCAGGTGAGGGAGAGAAGGTGGAGATCCCAGAGGGTGAGGCGATTAAGAGTGGAGGCAAGGAGGAGAAGGAATCATGGTGGAAGAGGAGTGTGTGTACACAATCCTTGGTCCACCTCAGGCCCCACGCCACCCCAAAAAAGCAAGAACAGGACACTTCTCCAGTCTGTTATGTTTACTCATTATTCTCCCAAGGAGAGGTGAACTCTATGCTCTAGGTCCTGAAGGCTCCTTTCCCTCAGTGGCAAGAACAGATGTAAGAGGGTAGCAAGAACAGAAACCACATCTTCAAGAAATTCAAGGGGCCGGCCCCGTGGAGTAGCGGTTAAGTGGGCGCGCTCGGCTGCTGGCGGCCCGGGGTTCGGATCCCAGGCGCGCACCGACACACCACTTGTCAGGCCATGCTGTGGCCGCGTCCCACATAAAGTGGAGGAAGACTGGCACGGATGTTAGCTCAGAGCTGGTCTTTCTCAGCAAAAAGAGGAGGACTGGCATGGATGTTAGCTCAGGGGTGATCTTCCTCACAAAAAAAAAAAGAAGGAAATTCAACCTGTGCTTATCTCTTTGAGTCACTCTCCTTTCCACTCCCCACCCTAAACTCAAAACAAAGATTCCTGACATAAACCACTTTGCCTTTACAGACAAGCTTGTTCCCAGTGAGGTCTATCCCCAAGAACTACTTAGAGGATGAAAGACTGAACAAGTGTGGACCTGGATCTAAAATATGGTACCTAGTCTGTGTGTCAATATGGTACCTCTTAATTTTAAATGCAAAAGCATAATATTTAATGCTATATCATGGGCTAACTAGGCTTTTGCAACCTAACATGGGATTCCAATGATGACTGTTTCCAAAGACCAACACATTCCCAGTTCCCAAACTTGGGAACCCAAACTGATCTTTACCTGGTGACTGCCTATATTCATGTTTCAGTGCTTTCTATTTTAACTAGACTAAACCTTAGGTTTTAGGGAAAAAGCTACATCTCAGCATATAATATTAATCACACTGGCACAAAAGTTTCAGATATGTGATTTAAAACCAATGCAACACCCATTTTACAATGTTTTTCCTTTCTGCTTTAAGAAAACCATTGGCTTATTCCTCAGCTGATCATACATTTTTAAAAACTCTTAAAAGCTTGTGCTGCATCTTAATCGCATTTTTTGGTTTAGAATGAATGTCCAATGATAAACTAGTCTAGTACAAAGCTATACAAACATGTACGCTCAAAAAATGTCTTTGCATAGGTGCTTTTTTAAGTCAATGCTTTAGTACGGTTATGTCTGCAAAATCTCCCAAAGAAGAAAACACAAGCAAGCTCTTGAGTAATACATCTGCACCATTTCACGGCTACCAGAGACACTGCAGCAAAGTTAGAGCGTTAACTTACTCGCTCTGTGTATTCTCTCTCGAACTTCCATGTACTCCTGTTCATGCTTTACAGCTGTCATTGCCACTGCTAGCTCATTAATCATTTCTTCTAGCTTGTTCTGGTGAGCTACAGAAGGATTTGGAAACAGATTAGCACATATTTGGCACTCTCTTTATGAAAAATACTTATAAAGCAATACAAATATTCCTCAGAGAAGGCACACAAAAGAACCTATTTTTAGAAATGGCCCAGACATCATTTCGGACCACTAATGACAATTTAATTCTCAAAGCATTTTTTAAAGTCCATCCCTAGTAAGAAATCTCTCAGGATAGGAAACATACTATACAATGTTTACTAACTAAAGGAAAACAATTAACCCTAAGAAATTTCTTCTAATGAATTGCTAAGTGAAGTTCACTATGCTGACCACTAACCAGAGTGGAGAAAAAAAGACTGAGGGGAAAAAAAGAGAGCACAAAATATAAATCTAACAAAAACATCCTATAGGGGCCAGCCCCGTGGTATAGTGGTTAAGTGCTCGCACTCTGCTGCTGGCGGCCTGGGTTCGGACCCCGGGCGCGCACTGATGTACAGCTTGTCAGGCCATGCTGTGGCGGCGTCCCACATAAAGTGGAGGAAGATCAGCAAGGATGTTAGCCCAGGGCCAGTCTTCCTCAGCCAAAAGAGGAGGATTAGCATGGATGTTAGCTCAGGGCTGATCTTCCTCACACACACACACACACAAAAACACTCTATAACAATATTAAACTAAAATCAAAATCTACTCTTAAAAGTCATAAGTGTAATGTTAATTTAGGAGCAGTATCAAAACAGACTTTTAATCTCTATGAAGCTGAGGAGAAAAACATGAAGACGCTCTTGGAAAAATCCACACCAACTCAAACATTCTTCTATGAGAGTCAAAGCAATAATTTCACTACAGTGGGGACTAGCAGGCATTGCAAATGAAGAGACAAGCTCTCAGCTGCACAAGGTTTAAAACCAAGTATTCTCTCTAGTAAAAAAACAAATACAGGGTGAAATAACAGTTCTGAAGAATAAGTGTATGCTTCTACAATGCTAGATTACGACAACGAACAGACAGGAAAAAAATATACCCCAAGGGAAGATTCCCATTGGAGGAGTCTCTTCATCACTGCCCAAGATTGGGCCTCATCTGGAATTCCAAATTGCCACAGATAATCCTAAATTTCTTAAGAGAAGCCAAAGGCCCTTAACATTTTAAGGCAGTGGGGCTAGAATCTCAAATCATCCCTCACTAGCTTCACTTCGGAAGCCCATGCCCCACATGGAACCTTTAGAGCAGGGTTTCTCAGGAGCAGCACTGTTGACATTTTGGATCAGATAATTCTTTGCTGTGGGGAGCTGTCCCATGCATTGTAGGATCACTCACCCAGCCATAAGAATCAAAAATGTCTCCAGGTATTGTCAAATGTCCCCTGGGGCCAAAAATCATCCTCACTTGAGAAGCACTGCTTTAAAGGAAGGCTTGATTTGCCAGCTGCCACTCAGTGCCATTAACAAAGCAAAAGCAAGAATTTTAGATATCGTGTTAAAGGATTATTTAAGACTAATTCAGTATTCACCATTCAATATAGTTCATCAGCCAATATTTTCTAACTATTTAGAAAGGACTAATTTCCAGAAAATGAACAAAGACAAAGCCCGTCAAAACTTCTAATTCTCCTTGAGAATTAGCCAAGTCCTACACTGTAAATGGCCCCGAAAAGCAAACACAGGAATTACTAAGTAGTATGATTCAACAGATTTCAAAACCTAACACACACTTCACCTTCTTCATGATGCAAGTACTTTACTAACTGCTCACTATCTAAGACAAGTGATATCATGTTAATACTATGAAATGTGTTGAACTGCTAGTCTCCAACAATCCTGACATGTGCTGTGGCAAAAAAAAAAAAAAAATCTAAATTTGCTGGCTCCTGGTAAGCAATTTATCCAGAAGAATCAATTTAGGGTTCATTACTGGTCAGTTGAGGAATAAAAATTAATCTAACTGCAACATATGGCTGACAGAACTTTTGTCACCATATTCTAGACATGGTTCCCACAACTGCATTTTACATCCAACCAAGTTTCAAGTTAGAAAACTTTAATAATGGTAAAACAAGCCTACAATATACTTCCTGCAGTCAAAGGCACCATTTGCTATTAGCTATGTTTAATTAAGACTTTCACTTGTCCAGTTAGAGTTGAATCTTTCCACCCTTCAGTATTCATTTAAAACAAAGTATGATGTTACTACTAAAATGTCAATCACTGTGTTCCCAATGCTATTAATTTAAAATGACCTAACCTATATCTCCTGTCAAGCAAATAAAAACTGCCAAAAAACAATCACTCCAAACTCTAATTAGTTATAAGGTTTTTTAATTAAGAGAAAAAACACTCTCATGCTAACAAACTGAGGTTAGAAAGAAGGAAAGCAGAAATTAGACAGCAGCAAACAAAATATACAGAAAGACAGGATGCTGTCAAAAGGCAATCCACATACCATCCCAGGTATCTCCACCACCTAAAGAAAAGTGTAAGACAGAAACACACAAAAAAATAAAAAGTTTAGCTAAACTAGTCATGTAAACAAATGAGCAAATAAAGACGTATATACCAGGATTAACCAAACAAACCACCTAAGACACATGTTACCTACGTGCCTACAAGAGCACAAAGTGACTACGAAAAGCTGCTAGAAGGGGCAACTGTAAAGACCTAAAATACAAACAAGAACTTCCAGAAACTTCTTTTTGTTAATTAGGAGATTTGAATAAATAAAAAGCATATTACACAAAAGGTTTTTGGTTGTAAAGACAGTGAATGAACCTAGAATAAGAAACCAAAATAAACATTCCATTTAGATGGAGAAAAATGTACAAAATTAATATTAACTCTTGGAATGTGATATAAATCTTCTGAATGCTCATCTCACCTTCTGTTTCCATGTCTTGTCCTTTTGGGGCCTCCCCAATATCAATGGTGAACATCACTATCTTTGGAGTCATGGTGGACATCCTATTGCTAAAACAAAACTTGTATGTTCCGTCCATGTGAGCAGCAAATGTGTATTTCCCACTGGACTCCCGGTCTCCTTTATAAATTCCTTTATTATCAGGCCCTGTAATCTGGAGGCAAGAAAGAAATGCATAAGATATCACGAACGACTTAAAATCATAAACTTCATGACTGATGTCTATTGGCAGTAGGATATTTGCTAAGAAAATCTAATTTTCACTTAGCTCCACTTCAGTTATCAACAGTAACCTCTCTGTGCTGCAGTTCTCCCACTTATGAAACAAGACTCTCTAAACACTTTTCAACTCTGACATTTGTTTTATTTGTCCAACTTAAACGTAAACCCCTCAGAAACAGAAACCACACCTTAAACATTGTCTCCAAGTGGCCTAATACCACCAGCAAAAGTGTAGCTGTTAATAGCAAAACATCAAAAAAAGAAATATCTTTAAATCTAAGAATTTTGAGCAAGCTACATTTCTAGGTTTTTCTGATTACTGCCAATCAGTGAAGGAAGGTGCTTTATGTGAGACGCTGAAGGCTTAAGGGAAAGGCCTGGAAATTAGGAGACCCGTGTTCTCAGCCCAGTCTGCTACAAATCAGCTGTTAGGGGTGCTCGAGTCAGTTCTTTTATAAAGCCCCTACCACCTGTAAAACTTAAGACTGGAACAGTTGATCTCCAACGTCTTAGCTAACTTTAACAGTCACTCCTCCCATTATCCCCTTATTCCTGGACTTCACTTGTATTGTGTAATTTGTGCCCAACTGTGTTGATGTTCACTGTCAAATGGAACTCTTAAACCCAATTAATCATGCTAACAGATGAATTTAAATATTAATTACATCTGGTTTCCTAAAAAATATTAGAGGCGAATCATTCTCTTGGTTTAAAAAAAGATACAGGAGGAAATTCAGGGACGGCTGGTTTCTTAAAATAATTTCCTGTTCGCTCCAGATCCTTCACTGCACTCATCCCTCCTAAAAATGCAGGACCCAACTCCACCTCTCTCCTACAGAGATGGCTAGAAGAGATATCTCGAGGTTTGTGTAAAAACGAGTCCAACGTTCAGGACGTTTCTATGAAAATAACAAAGAAAAACACAACGCGATCGTCTGCGAGCATTCCATAGCTTTCGATTTACTTTTTCAGACGTCTCCCTGCCACGTTCCAACATTAGCCCGTAACACGAAGGAACGCGGCTGCCGGGCGGACCGAGTCCTGCCACCAGCTAACCCCCGGGACGCGCCTTCTGGGCCCGGAGCTGACACGCGGCGCCCGGTCGACAAAGCTCGGCGAGAGGTGCCGGGGGACCCGCCGTTCAGGGTGGGAACCCAAAGCGACTAAGCCCAGGCTCCGCAGCCCGAGGGGAGCCCGCGCCCGGAATCCTGGCAGGCCGCGGCGACAGTGCCGTTGGGGGTCGCCCAGGCGGGGCCCGGGCCCCTCCCAGAACGCGGACAGCCGCCCCCACGCCCCGCTCCCCCGCAGACCCCGGGCGCGCCCCGCGCGACCCCGCCTCGGCCGCGGGCAGCGCGCCCGCACCTCCACGTCGATGTCCAGGAAGCCGCCCTCGGCCACCTCGAAGATGAGGCCCATCTTGGTGCCCGAGGTGACCCGCTCGAAGAAGCACTCCTCGGCGTGCGCGTCGATGCTGACGAAGTAGCCCGAGGCCGTGGCCAGGAGGGCGGCCAGGAGCACCAGCAGCTCAGCGAGCGTCACCATGGTGCGGCTGGGGCCGAAGCCAGGACCCGGACTGCGGCCTCCAGAGCCGCCGCCACCGCCACCGCTGCCTCCTCAGCCGCCGCCGCCTCCGTACCGCCCCTTCCGGCTGCGCCACCCGAGGGGGCTGATGCGGGCGCCGTGGATTGGCGGGCGCCGGCAGCTGCCACGTAACGGACGCACGGCGGCCGCCGAGGGACATGGCGGCTCCGCGCGGCCCGAGCCTGGACGGTGGCTCCGAAGGGCCAAAAGCCGTCGGCCTCACCTCGCTCCCTTTTCGTGCGCAACCTAAATTTCACGTGGACCACGCAAGAAAGCGGCGGTATCAAGAAAACTATCGCGCTCGGTGCAGTGCCCTTTTAGGATTGTCCAAAAAAGATGGCGAAAGATTTGGCGGCAGCAGTAGAGGGAATTTGAGATGGGGGCTGCAGCCAAAGGCTTTGAGGTTTTATGCTGGCCTCCCCTCACCCAGCAAAAGCCAATGGGGAAAGGATGGAGGCGGGTATAGGCTGAAAAGGGGCACGAGGGAACCGCCTGGGATGTTGGAAATGTTTTATATCTTCCCCTACATGATGGGTACTTGAGTGTTTACAGATGCTTTTTTAAAAAATCAAGAAGCTGTGTACTTAAGCTGAATGCACCTTATTTTACTGTGCGTATGTGATACAACTACCAAAAAAATTTTACCTTGTCTACATCCTCCAAAATTAGAATTCTCTCAGCTCCCCAAAGTGTTGGGGCCACCTCCCATTCCCTTAGCTCTTGCCAGCTACTAGGACAATTTTTTCCCACTCTTTGCCTCCTGGTACACTCCTACTTATCCCTCAAAACCCTATTCAAATGTTACCTTTTCTCTGAAATGTTCCTAGACTTTCTTCTGCCAAATACTAGCCCCTTCCTCTGTGCTTACAAGGCAGATTTGTGCCTACTGAGTTATAGTTATTTACCAGTCTGTGTCACTCATGAGGCACTTGGCATATTATGTGCTGTGCTCTCAGGTCCTACCATAGAGCCACAAAAGACCTCACAAAAGGCTGTGTTAGTTGACATGTCAAGTTCATTGAACTGGCCTGGGGAGGAGGAGACCTGTTGTTACTCCAGTTCTGCACTGTGTGACCTTAATTATGTTCCATCACCTCTCTGAGCTTCACTTTCCTTATCTGTAAAACGGGGATGACACCACATTCCTTGCATCTGGTCAAGTTATGGTGAGGATCGGATGACACCATGTATGTGTGTGTGTAGTGCAAATTTGAGGGGTTATTTCTTCAAACTTCAGCAGGCAATAGGGGGCAGTAGTGGCCCAAGATCCAGTTTGCCTGCTTCAGGTGTCAAGAAACAGGTGTAGCTACAGTGATGGAAGCTTCCTGGCTATGATGTGTTATTGAACTCGAGAGTTCTAGTAATGGTCCCCTGATTCCCCACCCTCCAGACTGTGGCAGAGTTCTTGTTTCTGCTGGCAGGTCAGTTCTGTAGCGTTATTCTGGGAGCCGTCGCTGGAGGGAGGCCCAGCCTGGAGCCTGCTCCTCTGGCCTCGCCGACCCATTCAGAAGCCCCTTTTCTGTGCACGAAATCTCTTCCTGCTTGTAATGCCTTCAGAGGTTTTCTATTAAACTGAATTGAACTAATGGATACAGGTTTTTTGACTTCCCAAGCAACCCAACTCTGTAGAAAAGTGCCAGGAACAATTCTATTTTTCTCTGGAAATTAAATATTAATTTTCAAACTGATTAAATAATGTTCTAACTCCACTTATCATGGATTTAAAATGTGGACATTTAGCATCTCAGTGGAATACAATGAATTGTATATGGGGGGGTTTATTATATAAATCAGGGGTCCCAAAATCAAGTGCCTTCAGGAATCAAGCAGCTTATATGATTGAGAGATGGCACCAGCTTAAGGCAATAGGGAGTGGGGAGGACTGTGGCAAACTGGAGCATAGATGCTGTATCTAAATACAATTTTTGAAAACACAGTGGTGGCCAAACCAAAGATGCAGCCAGAAGTCTTCTGTAAATGTATTTTTTATATTATAAAGTAATTAACTGTGCTATCTAAAAGTGAGAAAGGAGACAAAGGTAACTCTAATCACGGTACTGTAAAATAATTACTACCAACTACTTGGTTTCGTTCCTTCTTTATACAGGTTTTTCTTTCTGGCATCGTTGTCATAATTACTCACCAGGTGTCTTTCAACATTATTTCAGGATCTGAAGACAAAGAACCACAGGTTCTCAGGACATGCCAGGTCACCCACAGTAAATGTGCACTTCAGTGGTCCTCAGATTGGCATGAGCTCACGTGCCATGGTGTGCATGAACACATCCAGCATAACAAACAGCTGGCACATAATGGGTGCTCAATAAATATTTGATGGATGACTAACAAACCTCTCAACTGGGGTCTGGTCCAGAAGCCACCAGGTGGTGATCAGTGGTCAGTGAAGTGCAACAAAAAATGGGTCCTCCCTTCCTTCCTTCCTTCCTTTTCACGTACCATAAAATTCACCGTTTTCAAGTGTACGATTCAGTGGTTTTTAGCATATTCGGAGTTGTTCAACCATCGTCACTAATTCCAAAACATTTCATCAGCCCAAAAAGAAATCCCATACCCATTAGCAGTCACTGCCCGTTCCTCCTCCCCTCAGCCCCTGGCCACCGCTAATCTACTGCCTGTCGCTATGGATTTGGAACGGAATCCTACAATATGTGACCTTTTGTGACCAGCTTCTTTCACTGAGCATGTTTTCAAGGTTCTTCTGTGTTGTGATGTGTCAGTGCTTCATTCCTTGTTATGGCTGAACGATATTGTGTTATATGGATAGACCACGTTTTGTCTGTCCATTCACCTGTTGATGGACTTTTGGGTCGTTTACACTTTTTGGCTATTATGAAGAATGTTGCTATGAACATTCATGCACACATTTTTGTATGGACATATATTTCCAATTCTCTTGGGTATATATCTAGAGCAGACAAAATAAATTATTTCTACTCGGAATCAGAAGCTTGTTGTGTGTGGCAGGGACCAGGAAACCCGGTTAGAAACTGTTGAGGGGTTTGGATCAGCTGCATCAGTCAGTTCTCAAATGCTGGCAAGTTGTCAAGAGAATAACAAAAGGCTGTTTCCACAGAAAGGCTAGATCAGCTTTCTGCTGTCTGGGTATTAACACTCCTTCCCTCTGGTCCCAAAGAAGTCTTTTAAAATTCAGGAAGATTAAAGGAGACTGGGAAAATTTCTTTCATTATTCTTTTTTTTTTCATTTTCAGTTTTAAAATGTCATTTTATTGAAAACAATATTAATATGTAAAAATAATCAGAATTCAAGACAAATTTAACCACAATATCACCATCTAATCAAATCAGCCATTTTGGGGGGCTCCATGCTAGTCCTTTACTCATTTGATCTCAGATCCATCCCAGCCCTCTCTGCTCACCTCTGCATCACAAGAAACTAAGTTTTCCAGGCTCCCTTGCACTCTGCTTCCTGAAAGATCCTGCCAGTTGCAGGCACTGATGGAAGACTAGAGGGGAGAGGAAGGAAGGAGCTAGAGTGTTTGTCTCCCTCTCTGCTTTGGGAAGCGTCGCCGTTAGCGGCTGTCCTCAAACCTGCAGCTCCTCTGAAGTTCCAGTTTCCACTGGGTGGTCCTGGCTCCTGGGATCCAGTAACCCCACTTCCTCCCTTCTTTCCTCCAGTCCTAAGTGGGTTGGGGTCTTTCTGCTCTCGTTAATCTGTAGGTTGTCTCACCATCCCTTGTTTGGATCTTCAGCTCTATCGTCACCTGGTGTTTGGTTTCAAAATATATCCAGGAGCCAGCCCCGTGGCGTAGTGGTTAAGTTGGGCATGCTCTGCTTCGGCGGCCTGGGTTCACAGGTTCAGATCCCAGGCCCGGACCCACACCATTCTTCAGCGATGCTGTGGCAGTGACCCACATACAAAATAGAGGAAGATTGGCACAGATCTTATCTCAGGGTTAATCTTCTTCATGGAAAAAAAGAGGAAGATTGGCAACAGATGTTAGCTCAGGGCCAATCTTCCTCACCAAAACAAATATATCCACAAATTCTTGACCCTCCTCCCTTCAAAAGGTGGAGCCTAATTCCCCGCTCCCAGACTGGGAGGCAGAATTGGTTTAGTGACTCACTTCTGACTGAGAATGTGGCAGATGAGATGCTGTGTGACTTCTGGAGGTAGGTCATAAAAGGCATTGTTGCTTCTACCTTGCTCTCTTGAACCGCTTCCTCTGGGGGAAGCCAGCCGTCATGTCTTGAGGACACTTGAGCAGCTCTGGGAGAGGCGCGCATAGAGAGAAACTCAGGCCTCCCACCAACGTCGTGGAAGTGGCTCCTCCAGCCCGGGTCAAGCCTTCAGATGACTGCAGCCCCTGCCGATATCTTGACTGCAAGCCCCTGAGAGACCCTGTATCAGAATCGCTCAGCCAAGCTGCTCCCAAATTCCAGACCTACAGAAACCATGAAAGATAATGATTATTGTTGCTTTAAGCCACTAAGTTCTAGGGTAACTTTTTACACGGCTATAGGTAACTAATGCACCTGTTTAACCAATTTCCCGATTAGAGCCTTTCTGTTGAAAGACCTAGAGTGGGTTCCATTTTCTGACTGATACAAACCCCTGTCCTGAATTGTAAACCAAAAGTGAAATTAGCTTCTGTAAAAATGAAAAGTGTAAATGTGAGGCTGTTACTGACAGTGAAGGCTGGGTCACGTGACCCCAGACTCTTGTGATGGGCTCTGCATGCACACGGGGAACAATACCTGGAAGTAATTAATTACAGGCTGGAGGGGGTAATCCAAGCAGAAGATGCTGCAGGAGCACAGAAGGGGGCCCCTCCTGATGATAAGATCCACTAGTGAGGATATAGTGAAGAGGGAGGAACAATACTTTAAGAAAGACTTGGGTAATTATGTGAAAAGAAAAGGATGGTCCAGATCATGAAGATGAAATTAAAGTATTAAAAAGAGGAAGTTTCTAATATCAGCTTTTTAGATGGCCACATTTCTACAGGTAAGCACTACCAGCTTCCTGGCACCAAACTAAATACTTTTTGTGTGTGTGTGTGAGGAAGACTGGTCGTGAGCTAACATCTGTGCCCACCTTCCTCTATTTTGTATGTGGGATGCCGCCACAGCACGGGTTGATGAGAACTGTGTAGGTCTGTGCCCGGGATCTGAACCCGTGAACCCCAGGCCGCCAAAGCAGAGCATGCGAACTTAACCACTACACCAGCAGCCTGGTCCCTATGTTGACTTTTTTTGTCTGCTCAACATCCATTCTCTGCTCTGTAAGAGCACCCTACTTGTCCACTGAGGATTCCCCTCCCTCTTATCTTATCCCAGGCCACTCAAGTGGACTGTCCCTACTCTCTGGCTCTAAGCCTGACCAATCAGCAACTTCTGTCTCCCTAAGTACAGTGTTGGGCCAGGGGTGGGCATGTGTCTGAAGCTGATCCAGTGATACACAATTAAAATTCTTTGAATTTTCTGAGGTTATTGAACTGGTGGGGTGTAACCCTGGAGGTCCTGCAGACCACCGTTGCCACAAATGCAGACAGCCTGCATGAGAGTGATATCAACATTGTACAAATCTGGAGCTGAGGGTCAGAGAATGACAGCAGTCACGTGACATTGCTGAGCCCCTGGATCCAGCTGTGCCTGAAATTCACATCAGAGATTTCTTATTGATGTAGCTTTTTTGCTTAGACCAGTTTGATTTGTGGAAGAGTTTTGACAAACTTTAGAAATCCAAATCGAGAGGTGTTACAACTACAGAGACCTCCCCCATGTCTGTTCGGGATAAGCAGGCTTGATGCTATATATAACTTTGAAGTAATTTAGGTCAATTAATTGGTGGCATGGTTTAGACATTTTGACAGTGCATAAGGAGAGACTGTTTTCAAAGACTAGGTTATGGGCTAGAAAGTACTAATCACTTTAATTGTTGCGCTGTCCCTCATTGAAAGGATAATACTCAATTTCTTTCTGGGAGGGACTTCAGTTCCTCACCTGAAAAGTGGAGTAACATCTCCTCAGGAAGGCTGCTTGCCTGCCCCACTCCACAGACTGAGTAAGCTGCTCTTATTCTGGGTTTCAACAAAAGTCTGTGTGTGATTCATTCACAGTCCTTATCTGGTGTTATTTTTTTGTTATTCAGATATAATTTGTATACCATACAATTCACCCATTTAAAGTATACAGTTCAGGGGCTGGCCTGGCGGCATAGTTAAGTTCGCGCGCTCCGCTTCCGTGGCCCAGGTTTCTCAGTTCGGATCCTGGGCGTGGACGTACGAACCACCTATCAAAGCCATGCTGTGGCGGCGTCCCGTATAAAGTAGAGGAAGATGGGCATAGATGTTAGCCCAGGGCCAATCTTCCTCAGTAAAAAAGAGGAGGACTGGCAATAGATGTTAGCTCAGGGCTAATCTTCCTCAAAAAAAAAAAAAAGTATAGAATTCAATGGTTCTAGTTACAGTCACAGAGCTGTGCAACCATCACCACAATCCATTTTTTTTTAATTCTTAAAGATTATTGGTTCGTGCAGCTGAAAAGCCTAGAGGTAGCAAAAAATCAGGTGCAGTTTGATCCAGCTGCTCACATGACCTCCCAGGATGTGCTTTGCTCTCCTATCTCTTGGCCCTGCCTTCCTCCCTGTTGCCTTCTTACTCAGGCTGGCTCTCCTCAAACAAACACAAGACAGCCAGCAGCAGCCCCAGGCTTCCAGCCTGTTTTCTCAGCAACCCAATAGGAAAAAACAGCCAGCCAAAATAAAACCTTACCTTTCCAAGAGGTCCAGGAAAATTGTCATGGAATCTCATTGGACTGTCTGAGGTCAATGCCCATCCCTAAGCCAACCAGTAGGCTCACGGGTTTGACAGTGCCCGTTGGTCAGGCCTAGGTTTCCTCCTCTGGAACCAGGGAGTGGGGGAGGGGTGGTTCCCCTGAAGAAAATCAGAAAAATGGGGTGGATCCTAGTGGGCAAAACAACAGATACCCTCTCTATTCACTGGACCATGAGCTTCTTGAGAGCAGAGACTTCTGTCCTATTTTTTTTTTGGTGAGGAAGATCAGCCCTGAGCTAACATCCATTGCCCGTCCTCCTCTTCTTGCTGAGGAAGATTGGCCCTGGGCTAACATCTGTGCCCATCTTCCTCTACTTTATATGCGGGATGCCTGCCACAGCATGGCTTGATAAGCAGTGTGTCAGTCCGTGCCCAGGATCCAAATCTGAGAGCCCCGGGTTGCCAAGCAGAGCACACAAGCTTAACCGCTATGCCACCGGGCTGGCCCCTACTTTTGTCCTGACTTACCTTTGCAGTCCTGGAGCCCCATCTGTCACACAGGAGGTACTCAATGGCTGTGAGCTTCCTGGCTGGATAAAGCCCTTTTCCTTCCTACTCTCTTCTGGATCCTGGTTCATCCTCCCGGAAACAAGGAGTTCTGTGAGGAGGTAAAGGTTTCTACAAAGTGACCTGAGCTTCCAGAGGAAAAGTACTGTTTTTACCACAGACAAGACAACAGGTAAGGTGGAATCAATGCAAAAGTCTGCCAGTGGATGAATGGATAAACAGTGTGGTCCATCCACACAATGGAATATTACTCAGCCATAAAAAGGAATGATGTACTGCTGCAACATGGATGAACCTTGAAAACACTGTGCTAAGTAAAAGAAGCCAGTCACAAAAGGCCACATATTGTATGAGTCCATTTATATGAAATATCCAGAACAGGTAAATCCATAAAGCCAGAGAGTAGATTAGTGGTTTCCTCAGGCTGTGGTGGGAGTAGGGAGGAATTGGGGAGCGACTGCTAATGGGGTTCCTGTTTGGAATGACAAAAACGTTCTGGGACTAGATAGTAGTGATGGCTGCACGTATCTGTGAATATACGAAAAGCCACTGAATTGTGCGCTCTAAATGCGTGGATTTCACGGCATGTGAACTATATCTCAATACAGCTGTTTAACGCACACAAACAGGGAAGAGTTTTCAACCATCTGAGATGTAGTCCGGAAACAGCCAGCTCAGCACAGCCGGAGTAAGACGGCAGAAAGGGCAGCCAAGGGAGGCTGTGTCTTTGAGATTCCAACACGTTCCAAAGCCAGTCGGGGTTGGGTTATGTTTTTTCTAGACCATATTTCCACCATGAAGATCAAACAACTGCCATGGCTTTGAGCAAGAGACGAGCAGCGCCCGACATCCATCCATTTGCTGGCCTGGCCCTACCAGCTGGCCTGGGTGCTCTCCCGTTGACACGACAATTTCACAGCCCGTCAACATCAGATGAGGGCACTGTGACCGTGAGGGAACAAGACAAAGCACGAGCATGGGCTGGGCCAGGGAATACCAAACGCCTCCCTCTCTTGGCTAACATGAGTGATGGCTGCTTCTTCACCAAGCGCAGCTCCAGCCTGGCTCCGTATAGAGAAGATCTATTCAGAGCCCCAATCACAGAATCACCCCACTTCCTGACTGCACCCGCTCTAGAACAGACTCCCAGATCCTAAGCTCTCCCCAGAACCACCTAACCAAAGCCCATACTGTACTAGGTTCTTTCTAACACCCAACACTCTCTTACTGAGACGCCCACGGTTCCCACAGTGCACGTTCTCTCTCACTGCAATGAGTTATAAACCCAACTGGCTTAATTACCGGTGTGCCTGGTGGTCTTTGGCTGGAGGACATTGATGGCTTCCAAACACCTGCTTTTAATGTATTTATTTGATGCTAAAGCCAGCTCAAAGGGAACACAGAGGTCAACAGCACGTTCTCTGGCCTTGGACAGACCTGGGTTGAACCTCAGCTCAGCCACTTACTGTGTGACCTGTGGCAACTTAATTGACCTCTCTGAGCCTCAGTTTCCTCAGCTGTGAAATCATGTCATGCTTCTACACAAAAACCCAAAAAGCTCATTGAGAATCAAACCCATACAGTTTATCGTTCCCTGGGGGCCCTGCATAATCTGGCCCCAATCTCCTCTCTGTTTTTTTACCACACTTTCCTCCTCAGCTCCACTCATGGACCTGCTTGCTGGCCCGGCCCACGCCAGGCACATGACTGATTCAAGGGCTCTGCACTTCCCGCTCCCTCTGCCTGGGGCAGTCTTCGCCCATTTCCTCATGGCTCACTCCCTCGCTTTCCCCAGTGTCTGCTCCAATGTCACCTCTTGAAGGAGAAGCCCCCCAATTCAATCAAATCAATCAAATAAATCAAATCAATCACCCCCTAAGCCAGAGGTTCGCAAACTTGAGTGAGCAGCAGAATCACCCAGGGACATTTGTAAAATCAGAAAGGCCCAGGCGCATTCCACTTTGTCACTGCTGGTGGGAACGTAAAATGACACAACCACTTGGGAAAACAGTTCGGCAGTTTCTTGAAAGGTTAAACACACACTTACCGTGCAACCCAGACATTCTGCTTCTAGGTATTTACCCAAAAGAAAGGAACTCATGCGTCCCTGCAAAGACCTATACACAAACGTTCACAGTATTTGAATTAGGCACAAACTGGAAATGGCCCAAATGTCCAACCACAGGTGAGCGGACAAACAAATTGTGGTATATCCACACAGTGGCATACTACTCAGCAATAAAAAGGAATGAGCTATCTATACACACAACAATTTGAATGAATCTTAAAACATTATGCTGGGTGAACCAAACTGGACCAAAAAAACTGCATTCAGCTTATTTCCTGTTTTGGACAATTTTAAGTAAAACAGCTACAGACATTCTGTTCTCATTTCTGTTGGGTATAAACCTAGAAGTGGAATTGCTGAGCCATAAGGTTGCTGTGTGTTTAGACTTAGTAGGTACTGCCCGTTTCTCAAAGTGATTTTACTAATTACACTCTCAACAGCATTGTATGAGGTTCTAACCTTGGCAAGTTTGAAAACTGAAAAAAGGGCTACT